GACGAGGATGCCCAGCCCCGTCCCGGTTGCGACGGGATCCGGAACCCACCACTGGCGTATAGGTAATCCTTAGCTTACGACAGTTTGTTTAGTGATTGTTCAAAAGTTACAATGTCTGTGAAAATAGTGACTTTAGGACCGTTTTTCACACTTAACGACCGTACAAGGGATACCTGTACAACCTCCACCACTGACGCCTCATTTCTCTACCCCCCCCTCCCGCCTCCCCTCTGCCTTCCAGACCTGCGAGAAGTGAGCCTGGTGGACGGACCCGAACCGGACGCCGTCGTTTCACAATCCCACCCGCTCCACAGCGACCCCCAGGGCCCCCTGCCTGCTCCTCGGGACCCCACGGCCCAGCAGATCCTGCGGCTCCTCCGTGAAATACAAAACCCGCAGAATCGGGTGGGGCCCCTCTCAGAAACGCCGTGCATCCCGTTTTTCTATCGGGTGGACGAAAACGACGAAGTGAAGCTTCTGGTGGTTTAAACTGGAAAGGGACCCTTGAGAGCTCCTGCGGGGGGCCAGGTGGGGGGTGGTGGTCGGGCTGGCTCGAGGGCACGCGCTGGGGGGGGGCAAGCTTTTGTGCGCTGGCTGCGAATCACACCGTCGTCCAATGAAGCTCAGAATTTTACGCCACCCGACCGCCTGTTGCTTCCTCCCATTCAGGTCTTGTGGATTTAATTCTCTCTACTAAACCCTCCTTTGGTTATTTCAGCTTTCGTTAGGTCAGGTTTTATGCCCTTCTTCCAAAATCTTCCTTTCCTCTTTTAACTTGCATGGCCCCCAATCCCACAAATCCCACCCCCTCCATCCTTTCCTTTCAAAGAGTTAGCCAGCTGCCTTTCTAGCAAAACGCCGCCTCTTTCCTCCGCCGCCCCCCCCAAATTCTTTTGTTCCGTTACAACGTTTGGAAGGGCAAACGGTTTTCCAGGGAAGGGGATAAAAAGCTGCAATGTAATTTTTTAGAAAAACTGGACGTACGTTTGCATTGAAGAGACGGAAAGGTTTTACTTATTCTTCGGAGATGCGGAAGGGGAGGTCAGAAAAAGGAACCAGGCTTGTTGGGTTGGGGGGCGGGACGAGAGTCGATTCCATCTCTCGCACACGGAATCTCTTTCTCCCGGGGTCAAGCCAAACTTATTTCAACCGTCTTAAGATTATTTTGCAATGCATTTTGATGGTTGATGGTTTCTCTCCTTTCTGCCTCTGAGCCCCTCCCGCACGGGGAGATTGACGGAAGAATTCCCTTGATTGTGAGAGTGTGAAGCAGTGTACTGGTTGGTTTGAAGTTGGTGGTGACTTGGTGTGTTAACAAAAAAAGAGGGAGATTGGTCCAGCTTTCTTAGTTTTTAGCTCCCGGGAATAGAGAGACCGGCGAAGTTGCGTTTTTGCACAAGTTTTCCTCCTGGGACAGCTTGCTAGCAAAGCACGGAGGGAAGTTCGAAAAGCAAAAGAAGCTTCCGCTACAATTTTCTAGCAAAAACCGCGCGTCGACTACCCCACCTTCTTTCCAAGTTGTAAGGCAGAAGGAACTGGATCGCAGGAAAACGACAACGCCCACAAAACGGGGACAGTCGCAACATCAGTGTTACTCGTTCCCTCGTTGCGTTAGGTCAGGAGGCGGGCGAAAATGGGCTCGCGGGCCGCTTGTTGGCACAAGTGTACATATTGTATCTGTAATATTTTGTACATAACCTTGAATAATAGTAATAATAATAATAAAAAGAGAGAGAATAAAGCCCACGGACAGCCTTTTCCTGGCTGGCGGAAGGCTACCCTTGTCACCTTGTATGATATTTGAAGAAGAAAAATAAATGAAAATAACTTTAGTGGAGGCGGGAGGGGCAAAGCAGGACAGGAATGTGATTTACTGTAGAATATTATTCCATATTTATTAGGTGTGGGGTTTCCAGGGGAAACGCGTGAAGCAAAGCAAAGGAACTCTTGCAATCTGTTGCCAAGACAAATTTATATCCTGTTATAAAAGATTTGGTCTTTCTGAATAAATCTGTTTCACTTCACTGATGTTGCATGTGGTTCTTCTGTCCCTCGGAAGCATTGCCGGGATGGGGAGGCGTTGTCTGCCCAATAAGCTTCACCGCATGCACACACACCCCGATCAGTTTCATTTAGCGACCGTTCAAAATTACAAGGGCACTGAAAAAAATGATTTACGACCGTTGTTCACACGAAGCCGTGGTGGCGCAGTGGTTAGAGTGCAGTACTGCAGGCTCCTCCTGCCGGCTGCCTGCAATTTG